TTTTTATGGTCATCTTCTTGACAGATTACAGTTGCCTTCACAATCTAAACACAGTAAGATTGCCCTTATTTCTTGCTGTTGTAGCTTAATCTTGGTGCTGTAGTGTTGCTCTCCTGTGCAGAAATGAAATAGTTGCCACTGGTCACTGCATTAACAATCAATGTTCATCCTGAGTGGTTTCAATGTTGACATCAAGAAAAGCTATTTGAAACAGACACCGTGCTCTCTTGTAGGTGAAAAGAGGGCATTGATTGTAGTAACATTTTCCCAACTCACTGTCGACTCTATTCCCAGTTTGGCTTCCCACTTGTTTTTTTAAACTTGAAATCTTAATTAAATCAACACATGAAAACTAAAATGAATGCTGAGAGCAACTGTAGACCAAAAACACAATAAAACATGACACAGATGTTAGGAGACCTGATTTTCAGCAGTGACTAGGCTAGAGGCCATATGCTATTGAGCCATCTGGTCTTTCCCCAGCTTTACATACAAATTTGTAGAACCAGACAGTCTTATATCTTTACATACCGATTTGCAAAACCAGACTGTCTCCTATCTTTGCACTTATGCAGGTAAAGCCAAGCGTACACACTAGGTGGATGTCGACCTTCCCATTCTCACTTTTTCTGGACTTGTCTAGAAGATAACTGAGCGTGGCAGGATCTTTAGAGCCAAAAGCTTTAAGTTAGGGATACAATGCTGGAATTATAAATAGCACCTTCAGTTAGCTTTTTGATGTGGAGATGATTGCAGGGTGGAATGAAACTAACTCTGAAACCAACCAGCTGGCATGGAGCTTCACCTCATTCCTCAACTTCACTTTGGTCTCCTGATTATTTCTTGTCCTAGGTTCCTGGTTGCTTCCTGAGGCAGTCCATTAAAGGGGACTTAAGACCTGCACAACAACCCAGTTGGAAAATAAAAAGCTTTTAGAGTCCAGAAACTTTTTACTCTGGGGGAAAGGACATAATATTTTAGCATATTTGTTCCCCATTAGCCTGTTTATAGAGGTGTGGACTTTATTTTTTTATATCATATAGGATCCTATCAGATTTTATATGCTGGGCAAGTAATTTTGTATAATGACACAAAACAATCTCAGGAAGGACTCATCTTCTGTAAATCTTATATCTATAAATATCTGCAAGAGAAACTCCTATAGCATTCTAGTTTTTATCATAGTAAAGTCAATATGTCCATTGCCCTTGGCACGTTGAATGATAAACATAAGGAAAACAGGGGCCTTTTCTCAATAAAGAAAATCATCATCTTTGACAGCTTTTCACCCTCATGATACTGAAGTCTGCTTTCTAGATTTAATCCCATCCCCACATCCATTTTCGCTGGCTACAACTCCATTGTTGTAAATAGCTGTATTAATTTCACCTTGATTCTTTCCTTCTGCTTCAGATCAAAGGACAAAAGAAGCTGTTTGAGTAAATATAGGATTATCTGCAGGTTTTCTAAGCTTTTAAAGAATCTAAAAAGAAAGGAGGCTGGTGGACTCACTTTCCATGTAATCCAAAAGGGATAGACTGTGATAATATGACTTTGTCAAGGGGAAGTGAATACACTGAAACTCCTTCCATGCTGTTAAAATTGGACTTCTGTCAGAATTTCAACTTCCCTAACCCATAGCAGAAACACATTCCTTTAGTAAACTTTTTGTATGTAGACTCCTAGAAAAGTAAGGAAGTATTTTTAATGCCAATGCATTTAATTCTTTTTAGGAGACTGATTATTTGTACAAACAATTTTTAGGAAATGTCTTGCCTGCATTGCCAGAAAAACATGACCAAAAAAAAGGAGCTTCCACTGGTTTCTCTACAGTGAAAAGGAGATTTCACTGATATCCTACTAGTATCAGTGGTACTGGTAGGTAGCATTGAAGATACCACCTTGATGTATCTCCTTGAGTGAGGGTACATCTTTGAATGGTATGTACCATTCAAGGTACTGGATCTTGAGTACACTGAACGTTACTCAGTGTCTCTGCCATCATGCTACAAACTCTTCATTTTTGAGCACATGGACAGCACTGATATGATCTTACAGGCCTTATAAGTTGAGCTTTTACAGGTTTACAGGTTGAGCTCTGGTGCTCAGCCACCGATATCTGTGTTCTCATCCAGTGCCTTGCTAAGGGCAGCCTTTACAAAATTAATTGCAAGGATGAATACTCTGGGTTTATGGCTGGGTAAACCATGAAGGTATTCTTAGCAATATCGTAGCTGGTTTCATTGGAAAACTTCGTGACACCTGTGTTTCCCCAGCTATACTCATACACTGGGGGGTCTTGAGACCCTACCCAGCCCAAACAGTTATGATGCCCATGGAAAGATCTTTGCCCTATCCATCTTTGGTTGGAGGTGGAATATGCACTTGTCTAATTCTGCACTGCCTAACTGGATCCTGCTGTTCCCTGTGAAGTTCTGAAAAGGACTTAGAAATTCTCTTCTTTTTTTCTGTGCTCATGCCCTACATTAGGGATGTAGCTGTCTTACTTCACTTGAGCACTTTCCAGCTCTCAGCATACAGCATATTGGGTCAACAGGACTGAAACGGCCACTTGTAAATGTGGGTAGAGGTGGGTGGAAAAAGGACCTCAGGCAGCTTCTGGCAATTGAAAGATAACATTTAAAAATAAAGTGGTTCTGATGTTTCATTGTTGGTGCTCTTACCTCATAAGCTTCCCTCTTCCTACTCATCCCTCAGTCTTCTCCACAGGTCTATACACAAAGCCCTGCACTCAGCACAGCTGGGCATAGGAAAGGGGCTGAGGGTGCTGTAAATAGGTGTGGGAGTACTGGTGGGGATAGGATGGGGGATAGTCTTGGGCTCTGGGATATCTCCTAATTTTATTCATCTGCAATGACATTGGGTGGAGACAGTGTCCTTGCAGAAAGCCTCCACTGCTTGTTGTGCTTCCCACATTTATCTCAGAACTAAAGAGGTGGGAGTCTACCCTGGCTGCTGTTTCAGTCATGTCATTCCTCCCAAAGGCATCATCCATGTCCTTACAGTGAGGAGAGGTCTGCCAAGGTGCCTCTGGTCAGCAGTTGTTCGTGAGGAACATCTCTAGTTCAAGACACAGCCCTGCTATCTTCTCACAGCTAGCAACAGATGATAGTTATATCTCTGCTATCCCATGTCCACAGCTGCCAGAAACATGTGAGGGCCTCTGCCAAGGTTTTGATCAGTATTATAAACCTCAGTGTCTTTCTGTCCCCTAGTTTTATTGCCAAGTATTTGAGCATATCCATACCTCCTAGAAGGCAGGTTAGAAACCTCTGCTGTAGAATCCTACTAATCTAAGAAGGGACCTCTAGAGGTCCCTAGTCCAGCCCACCGCTTGTAGCAGGATTAACTTCAAAGCTTGATTTGACTTGACAATATGTGCAATTGATGCTTCAGTTTTGTCCTATGCTCATTACAGTTATTTACTATCTTTAAATCCTTTAAGAGTATTTGATTCAAAGTACTTCTCTAATGTACTTCTGAAGTACTTTTCCTGTTCTTATTTTTGGAAGACCTGGCAGGTGATTAAAATGTTCACTACAACTTTGATCGTTTTAAATAATGTAGCTAAACCTTTGCTCACAGCAGTAATTAGGTATTCATTGACATGAGAGCCAAAATTCTGTGTTTTAGGCTGGATAGACTGTCAGCTTGAAGACAGCTTTTAATGTGAGTTTTAAATTCCCCATTTCTGTTTTGTCAGATGGCTCCAAGTTAACTTCCTTAGTTACAGTGCCAATTTCTTACATTAGTCAGATCCACTTACTATAATTTTTAATGATCGTAGCCCAGAGAAAGCAAATGTCACTCTGCTCTCTCAATCTGCCAAGGGAGAGAGCTGAGGGCAGCCGGGGTGTTGAAATTCCTTTGGATTAGACAGAGAAACTGAAGCAAGCCTTTTAATTTTTTCTGAACAATTTGATATGTAAGAGGTGAGTTCTGAATCATAGGGTCTGTTTGAAGCTTTAAAGAGCCATGGGGGAGGGAAGTGTTAAATAAAATAATGAAGTTGCTTCTTTCCCCCCTGTTCC